AGGTTATCTTAAATACAGAACGATAAAAAGGTATTTGCATTTCTGTTGTCTAGTCTGTAAACACTAAATATCCGTTACAACATAAAAACTGTTCAGCAACTTTTTCATCGTTCAAAGAATTGCTGTATTAAGAAAAAAATATCTGTATACATATTTCCTCGCTTTCAGCAAATTGAATGTAGCGGTAAATTAAGCAAACGAATCATCGTCTGAACAAAACGGTGAAATATGCGTAACCGAACGCGAAAGGAAAACCAGCCAGTAAAATCGTGCACCAAAACGAAACGTTGCGAATTGACACGAAAAAGTCTAACGAAACAAAAAAAAAAAAAGACAGCGAGAGAGTGTTGCGTATGTTGCGAGAAGTCGCGCTATCGCGCGCAGCGGTGTCGGTCTACCGTAAACTTGACTTTACGGGCGATGCCGAGAGCCGAGGAGCTGCTGCAACGCTGGCTTGCTTTTTCGCGGCTACTTCTGCATTTTGTTTCGTCTCGCCGACGTAACGGTTCGCCCCGTCGTCGTTGCGCGATACCGTGCGCGCCCGAGCGATTTCTCGCAAGTCCGTACGATCGCTGCGAGACCAGGCGGATTCCGCGATGCTGAAGAACTGCCGGGGAATTCATCAAATAAATGCGCTATTAAATAGTTATGTATCAGAGAAATGTGTAGATTTTATCAGTTCGTGCAATTTTCTGCATTACATTTAATATAGAAAACCGCACAGTGTTCTCAATTACTAGCATTTAATTTCTTCGTTCAAACATCATTCTTATCATACATTTACCTTTTAGAAATTTTATACTTTTGAGCGTTAACTTTTATTGCATAAAAGAAAGACATCGTATTTATAGTTTTCTGATATTCCTTATTCGAATATTTTTATCCTTACTTTCGAAATTATTTTATATTATTAATATATTTGTGTAGATCATGTAAACTGGTTTTTCGCGATTTCTCACAACACAATTTCCAATTTTCAATCGTGACTAGCTTTGGAATTTTACGAACGTCACGTACACGTTTATTTCGGCTACGCGTTTGTTTGCACGCGGAAGTGTGCGAATTGTATGGTGTATCATGAAATTCCCTCGATTCATCGCGGTTTTGTTGCGGAAGCGAACCGAGGGAATTTTCGCGATTTTCTTCGGAACGCGATGGATTCCATGCAAATTTCGCGCGGCGTCGTGCACATAATGCCGCGTGCGCCCGCGATCCGCCGATTGTTCGCTTTCGCGATTAATTGCCGCATTCGCGCGCAACTATGACGTAATCCGCGAATCATCTGGATGGAACTTCCGGAATGCGGCAGATTATTCCGCGAGCATACTTCCGTATGCGTTCAGCGTAACGGAGCGTTGCAAGCGCAGTTCGTCGACGATTCACCGAAGTAATTGAAGAAGCTCTAGTTGAGAGAACGAGGCAAGTACAGTTTTAGGCGCGAGGCAAGCATTTCGTAGAAATCACGAAGCTTCTGTGCGTGTATCGATGTACGTCGCACTTCCGTTTGAGCGACAAGATGATCTTTCCAAACTTCGAAAAAGTTCGGTAAATTTACACACAATTAAGGTGTAAAAATTATATGATAGATAACGGAAGCATGCTAAGTAAATAATATAAAATTTATAAAATTGTGTAAATTTACGTTATATATTTAGTAAATTGCTGTTATTCATCGTATAATTTTTACATCTTAATTGTGTAAATTTATCGATTTCTTTACAGCATAGCATAAAAGTATTCCGATACAAAAGCTTGTTCCATAGAAATCAACCTTGACATTCGGCAGTATCTTTATTCACTACCTGGTATCGCAGGTAAAAATAACTTCGTTATATCCACAGGCCATAACGGCGCCTCGTAACTCGATCCGATGACTAATCAGCGATGGGGGAATTAAGTACCAATGATTGGTGTATTTAATTAGATAATTAGATACGATATTCGGATAGCCGAGCATTGTAGAAATCGAGATTACACCGCGCGTTATTCCCGACTCGCTGATCGAACTCGACACACTTTCTGGCGATTTCAAGTACATTTTTAATTTGCAGTAAATAGTAAACACAACTTCAACGTACGTTTAACGCACGCTTTAAACTCAAACCTTCATATAAAATATACTTCAAAATATTACGACACCGAAAACATCAACTATATCATATTTTACGATTTAACGGAATGTAATAATAATAAATAAACGGAAAATTCAACATTAGAATTGTCAATTTGTACGGTATATCAGATGGATCCCGCTGCCGTGTAACCGTTGTACAGCTGACGGATCTGCTATCGTAAGCAGTATTTACGTTCGTCTTCTGAAATTTTTCGAGAGAAGCTACACGATTGCTTATTTGCAGTGCAAGCACTTCAGGTTATGCAAAATTAAAGTGACAAAAGTGCTCTATCTCACGCTTCATCTTAATATCATTATGGTAAATTGAATTTCTCAGAAAAAAAAAGCAAAATAGCAAAATTATGGTATCTAAATGTTAAAAAACCGGTTTTTTTAAACTTTACTACTACTGTTTTCGAGGAATCGATAATTCTCGATAATCATTCATAAATTTATTATCATAAAAAAATAGATATGCGGAACTGTAATGATTTTCGAAACTATCAATTTCTTTCAATAAATTAATTTGTGTAATTTGTTTCTAGAAGTAAATACAATAAATTTTACTAAGAATTAGCAAATTTATGTTAATAAATAACACAAGACATATCTTTTTACTTTACTATAAAAATGAAAACTTTAGAAGTTATTAATAGTTATTGCAATAGTTACTGCAATACAGACAACTTCAAATAACAATATTACTGAAAGAAATATGCGTAAATCTTTCACATAAATATATATTATTATGCTAATATTTAAAAAAATAATATTTAAATATATATCGTGAAATAGGTTTTTTAGACTTATTTTTTTGGACGCTTTATTTTCTCTGAATGTCTTGAAAAGAATATATTTAAAACCTCGCATTTTAGGAAGAGAGCTTTGAAATTACGAAATTCGTCTCGATACGGTCTTCAACCGGAAAGAGACAATGAAGCCGCCTCGCGACACGCTACGATTAATCATTCGCAGTTGCGCACGTGGATTTTAGGAAAATTGCATGACAATGTCGCGAACGATATCCGTGCCGCGACGTTGGCTCTATAAATATCATACTACAGTTAGCAGGCGAATATCGCTGATCGATAGCATCATGTAGCCTCGTAAAGATGTCACACTGGATGTAACGATTATTGCGTAACATGAAAGAGTTACGGGGCTGCGAGATGGGAATTGATAATCTCAGGGTCGATATCACGCGCGAGCAAACCCGAGAGCAATTGCTCGGCAAATTGAAGGAGGGTCGGCATTCGGCCTTATTTTTAGTTGTACGGGCGTCCCTGCATCGCGCGTGAATGCAAATATCAAAAATTATAACAAGAAGAAGAATGCCATTTGTTTCAACACTGGCACGCAATATTGCATTTACGATCCAGATAACGAAGTTTGATTTCTCTCCAATGAATTGCGAACGAAATGAAATATCTGCGCGTGCGGCTTAATTATATCAAAACATTTTTGTTACAAATTACAAAGTAATGAGCGCGACGTATAATATGAGAAGTTAATGGAACTTGATATCAAATTTGTTAAAGAATTCCAGAGAAAGCGCTTGATGCCGGTATCGTTGTTGACATATTTTTGTGTCAATAAGTAGGTAAAACACTTTTCTCTTTTTCTGTTTGCTTAATTCATGAATGTGTACACGCACAACGTATATGTTAAAATAATAATTGTTAAATATAAGTTAAATATATAAATAAAACTCAAAATTTTTATCTCATAATGAATCATATTAGTTTTTACCAAAAACTTTCCTTCGCTTTTTTCTCTTTTTTTTCAATTATAGATAAAATACAAATAAACAAAAATATAAAGAAATGAATAAATAACAAATGTGAGCTACATTTTGACGTTAATGTTTCGTATATAAATCGTAAACTTTCATCCGCGGATTTTTGCTCCAACTTTCGCTACTTATCGATCTTTTAAAATGTTTTGTCCTGAATCGATCTTTGTCAAACTGAAATTTTATTAACTACTATGTATTTTTATGAGTATTTTAACTTTTATATGTAAACAGAGTAAGTTTCCGCGCGCGCAAGAGTACACGTTGTAATCTAATTCGGCTAATCTTAATGGTATACAATCAATTTTAATAACTTATTCACATAATAATTATACTTTAATTATTTAATAAGCTTCCCGGTAATAAACGTGCGAATTAATCTCGTAAATCGTCTCATCCTTACGATCACCTATCATTCTTGTCTCTTTTAATTACTGTCACCGGCGCTGTTATACAACATGTGTAAATATTTCGAATGTCAAACATGCATCATTTCGTGAATATCACGAAATCCTTACGGTTTAACCTTGATTTTAATTTTCCTTATCTGCGCGTCTGCGTCGCAGATAGAACTATAGTTTGGGAAGGAACCGCAGAGAAATGGAATTAATCGAAGTTAGGCAATTTGAAATTGCCGATACGGCGCAGCTGCAATTCTGACGTGCATCGGCAAGTTTACTTCCAGATCGATACGCTGGATTTCGTCTAAGAATTCGTAGAACGTAACGGGCAACCTGTTCGCTGACCACGAAGCATTGTTACAATTCCACCAAGATATTCAACAAGATCGCGCTGACTGCGCACAAATATCATATTAACAATAATATAAAAATAAGTTTTATATTTTTGAATCCTTTGCATTTTACATTCCATAAAACGTTTCGTCTTTATTACTTTGTCGAATGCTGACAAATCTTTTTACAACGTTAATATTGCGTTTAATATTAACGACATTAAAGAAGCGACAAAACTTTATATAAACAAGTGAGATATTCGCACGATGAGTCCAAGCAACTTCAAGTCCATGCGCAGCCACGAAAATTACATCAACGCGAATCTCATAAGAATAATGATCCTGAATTTCTGTACACCTACCTGTTGTCCTTATTGAAAAGTCGGATGAGGAGCGACTCGCGGAAGCATGCGCACGTGAGAATCGATCTCCGGCGATATATTCTCGCGGAAGAATCGGCGACTTTACGACGATCGGACGCTCAATAATTTTTTTTTTCACTTGATCGAGGAAAAAGAAAAATACAAAGAGCGCAAATTTTCTCTTTCTAGAACAACGAATGAAATGTATTTCCCGGAAAACATTCGCGCGATACTCCCTCCTCGATAGCCGAGCATTAACTGACGTGACCGCTCGGCCCGCTCGCCGAGCAAGACGACGTCGGTGTCGGTATCTGGCTTTAGATGGCGTCCGGCGCGCCGGCGCGCGATTGGTCAACAGTTCGGTATTCGCAGGTGAGCATATACGTTGGGCGTACGCGTGTGTGCGTACAATGGCGCGCGTTAATGGGTACACCTGTGCGGACTTGCACTTGCAATTAACGCAGACGTATCACAGCCCGGTCCCCTCGGACTGACAGTCATAAATCATTACCGAGAATTAAGATGACTTTACATGGGAGATTATGGGAGAACGTATAATAATAATGGATATAATTATAATGATATATGAATAATTGATGAATATATAATAACGATGAATAGATAATAAATTATACGATTGTTCACTTGATTAACACAAATTTGGCTTTAAGCGGAGTTTTGATTCACCGCGATTTCTCAACACTCGACTGTTAATATATTTGCGACGAATTTTCGAATCCGGCATTTTTTTTTCTTCGTTACTTTAACGCGCACTTGTTTCAGCATGCTCCAATTAGAAATCGCTCTACAATTTTTATTATGTAACAATCAAATTAGATTAGTTTAAACTGTTGCGTTATGAAATGAGATATCTCTCAAGATCTGTACGCAATGCGTTAAGAATGAATGTGCGCGTCAGTGCCGGAAAAGGGTGGCAGTTTGAGTCGGTCCCATTAACGCACTGCACACCTACGCAATTGTACACATGCCTGCGCGTCGCGGAAGTCTACCTGCGACGCGTTTCGCAGTGAATGAACCAGATGCAATCGCGCGGACACACGAACGTTCCGCGCTTTTGCGTCTGAAAATATTCTTATTTGCCTCCGTCGCTGTTATTATTCGACTGTTTGCTCATTCAAGATCATGAATTTCTTCTGCTACCAACGTAAGATATTGGCGCCGACTGTCATTTGTCTCAGGAAGTCGGGCGCGCGAAAATGAATTGCCACAACTAGACGCGTGAAGATTAATTAAAGAAATTGTCTTTGTTTATTAATTATGAAATAAACACTTATTCCCAAGTGAACTCTTATTTTATAAAAGTAAAGAACGCTCTCAAGTGAGAGAAACAAGTTGTTAAAAAATACGCTATATCGGCCGTTTTCATCGTTAAAAAATGCGCATGTTACACAGACCGTACAAAAAGTTATAAATCCGTGCATAATGTTCACAGAATGTTATTGCCGCTTCGCCAATAGAAACGTAATTTCTTGGTATAATTCCAAACGTCCAAATTAGTATTCCGCGTAAACCATTCAAAAGAAAGTGGCCGTTACGTAACGTTCAGAATTTTGTGTGTAGATGCAAAGCATAAAAAAGTAACTTTCGTCGTCGTAATTGGTGAAAGCATAGCAGGTGTATTCCGCTTATTTCGCCGTGCTTAGGTTTACATTGCTGTAATGATCGATTACTAATAACGTCACGATGTTACCGAAGATTATCGAACACGTATTTCGCCATTAATAACGAGGGGAGAGAAACATCCTTTAAATTACATTTCTTATTAATTATATGTAATTTTTTCTCTTATAATATAATTTAATTTATATAAATTTATATATACTGTTATGGAATGCAAATATTTTACTTTGATTATTCCTTGATTCCATTTTATTAGTTAAACAATTAAGTTGAAGAAAGTATTATATATTAATTTATCAATCCGCCTGGTTATTGTGTTTACATAAATTTTCTTTCTCATTTCGACAAGTGCGATCTTTCTTTGAACCTATTCTTATTCTTATTCTTTTTCGCACACCGTGTATTCGATAACATCGAAGCACTGCCATTCCTTTTACATGAGTAAGATAACTGCGATTGGTGCTCGGCGGCGTTAATGCTTCGTGAGCATGCAAGGTGCATTCGCGAGTGCGCGTACCAATGCGGGTGTCGTTACAAAATTGCGGTATCGTGAAATACGGTGATCCGCGAGCGGAATATCACGCGAGGATACACCGTGTAGGAAGGATAACACAGCGCGAACTGAATGTTAAAGCAGAAATGATGAGTTTCCCTTCTGTTTACAAAATCGCGCGATTGACCAACTTCGAGTTTTCCGTTTTACAGGGAAAAAAAAAACCGTTCACCGCGCGTAACTGAACCCAATCTAACGCACAAAGAACGAAGTGGAAATTTTCGATAAAAATCTAGAGCAAGAAAATGCAGAATCTTTTGTTCTCACAAAATAAAAATCCATAATTGTAAAAAATGTTGCAGGTATAAAATTGAGATAAATAATGTAATTTTATAAAAAGTAACTTTTGTATACCGCACAACTGCATATCCGTTAATCTATCCTCGTTTTCGCAACAGAATTTATTTGTATTGGTATATTCGTTCATTAGTGAATATATTTTCAATGCGAAAGCAATAATGTGTAAAGGTACTTATTATAGTTTCTTCCGGTAGTTACGAAAGCATTAAGACGTGCTCTCAGATACGTAATTAGCGTTGGATATCTGATTTATCATTGCGCAAACACAGAACAATCGCTAGTCGTATTCTCATATACGATGTGAACGCAAACGATATATAACTCCTACATTTCAAAGGACTCTTACGAAGCGCGTACGTGTACGGAACTTGTCTCTCTCAATGTAAACTGCTAGACGTTATTTTAAGCGCGGGAATAAGATTCCTGAGACATTCTTTCCGTAACATCAGCTGCATTCGATTGTTTAAACTTTTTCCGATATCACAAACCGTTGTAGAGGTCTAAAACGGCTCGGATAATCGCAAGAAAATAAATATCCTGGCGGAATTTCTGGCCACTTTGCAGCATTTCGCAAAACATTGTGTAAATTTGCATTAAAAGAACACATCGTAGAGCGGAAGATTCTCGAATGCGTGGAGAATACAATCGTACGGAGCGAGACAACGACATAATAGAGATTATTCTCGGGCGAGTAACCTCTTTTAATCGAGTTGACCCTAGCCGGCGATTAAACAAATTGGAAAGGTCTCATAAATGTCGGAGCAAGATCTTTCATAATATACGACGTCGAGAAGTAAATATTTTGAAAATCATTATATCAGTCGGAAAAAATTCTAGCTTCCGCACTCGAATCATGCAGGACTTTGATAATTTCTTAAAGAAATTTGCAATGCGCGCCCGAATTAACGCAGTAATGCTTTCTTCGCATTAGCCGCTCGATTCTACCTCGATTGTTAATTTTTAATATCACTCCCGCTCTTATCTGTAGTTAAATATTTTGTCACTCTAGCGATTACATCACACGCAAGTGCATATTGGATAGAATGTCGGATGTACACTTTTTACAATGTTGTAATGCGCGCTACTTGAGTAAACGATAGCGCTCCCGATAAGCGACGATTTAGAGAACGTTAGATAAACGGTGGCGATCGTCACGCTTCCATATCTTGGAAAAATAATCAAATGCGGAACGATTGTCGTTTACCTGAGTTGTCATAATCTAATCGCGGCGAATCTACGCTTTAATTCTGGATTTCCGCACAAAAGAGTGATCGAAACGAAAAAAATGCAACTATCAGGCTCTTTCCTTTGCATCGCTGAGTTTTTATCGCTTGTGTAGAAAACACCGATAGTCTGGAATGTTTGTACGCAGAATCGGGAAATGTTTGCGTTTAATTTTAACCGCGGTGTATTTCTGCGCTTTGACGAGTAGTCAATACTTCGCAGACGACATTTCGGACACGATAACGATGCTAACATCTTCCTTCCTCTTAATTTTTCCCCCTTCTTCATTCTCATTATCTACCTATCTCTCTCTCTCTCTCTCTCTCTTTCCCTCAGTCTTCCAATTATTTTCTCTCCTTTTAACAAAGTAATTACGCAATGCGAGGAAACGTGCAAGGATACATACGGATGTAGCTTCTCTCCACGCTGAATGCCAAATATGTTTAGCAAAGTAATTTAGATAAGTCCGAATTGTCCGCGTGTGACGTAAATGACGGATTGCTCGCGGACGAGCGAGCGGCACGTTGAGTTGCATGAAAATATTTCAAATGCAGAACGTGCTACGTGAGATAGAAAATTGAGGAGGATGTAATTAACTCTTTGATGAGTCTCTAAGAAACTTGATAAAACACGTAATTGGACATCGACACTTGAAATTGAATCGAGTGTATTTGCGGATGAATTAAAAAATAATTGATGAATTCCTTGCATACGAATTCAAGAATTTATTTTGATATCAAAGTAACTCCAAGCATTGAGTGCGTATCGAAATTGACTCGAGCTTGAAGATAACGTTACTTTTGGATGACGTATATTGCCAAAATATATTGAAATTTAGCGCGGAGAAAAGAATTTGTTTATGTGGGTAAAACCGTGTTGCGTAAATGGATTATCGTCATCATAAATAGAATCAGAATCGCGCGGAGATTATTTCTATCAGATAACGATCGCGTCGTTTAACGTATATAGCGACGATAAGTGCGCAAATATCATTATCCGTAATCGGGAGATAAACAAAGTGAAGATAAAAATAACATAAATTATAAATTAACCATTAATCGATTACCATTAATCACGAGTGGACCGTGAAACATGATTTTCACATGCAATTGCAACATAAGTAATCGATTTTTGACGATTTGACGGCAAATGTTTTGTATGAATTATGCATTTTGTCTCGCAATGAACTTTAAATTAAAATTTGATGTATAGAATAATAATTGAAATATTGATTCTATTTTGTACCTCAAAATTATGCACGGAATAATACGAATTTAAAAACGAAGTATAATTACGATTAATGATAAGTTTTAAAATATAAATAATGAGTTTATCACGACCATGTTATCACAGCCACGGTTATTTTCTAGAGGATTTTCACATGACTTTCCCTCACATGGCTTAGTGTGTCACTGCCCTGAGCCGTGCAATTGAAAGCGTAAATTGCCGGTTTTGATCGAAATAAGAACTATGTTTACTTCAAATAACCGAATCATTTTTATTTTTGCGAAAAGTGTCAGTTCCGAGGAAACGGCGCGCATCGAA